GGATGAGATCCGTTCTTTGCCCCCGTTTGATTGTTAAACCGCAAACTTCCCACTCTGGATTGCCTTGTTGAAAGCTCGAAGAGACTCCACGATTTGTCGGTAACACAAATGGTTAATTCTCTGAATATATGTGCCGCTACGTACACGCACAAGGCAACAATGAAACGGGTCAAAAAAAAAAAAGATTTAAGTCAAATAACTGGATTCCCAACACTTATACTAAGCCAGGTAAAGGCGAAAAATAATTTATGGCATGAGTTTAAGTCCCACGACAACAATCCTAGAATCCTATTACCTGTCTTGTCCCACCAAAGACCCCGTTGATGATATTTCTAACTGTTTTCCCACAAGCAGCCGTAACCCATTTCCTCAGAGGCATTTCTATCGTAGAACTCCCAATTACCATCTTCAGTGAAACTCCACGGTCCCCACCATCTCATCTCCATACCCATCTTCACTTCTTCACTTGGTGTCATGATGTACTAAAGCCAATCCGGGTCTTGGACAAGGAATCGTTCCTGCTCGGAGTTCGGGGCTTCCAAAACGGGGCTAGGATGGTGAACCTCCAGTGGCTGCACAACATACTCTCCACTGCCACAGCTACTGCCCACGACTACGTCGTCCTTGTCGAGGTCGTCAAGTATTTCTTGGAGGAGTGCCCCATCGACTTCCAGTATCATGAGCTCAGCGGCTCCGTGGACGAACCTCTCGGAGGAAGCCATGGAGAGAAGCGGAAAGGAGGGAGCTCAAGGGAGGAAGGGCGGGCGGGCGGGAGGGAGGGAGGTAGAAGGTATTGGTGTTGCAACTTGGCAATGCTCCATGCTCTGATAGAATGGTTAGGGCTTGGGACTCCTTATATAGTTCCATGTAGGATTTCGTAGATGGTATTCTAAACTTATCCCAACCTAAGTTTTCGGATACACTTCGGATTCTCAATGGGTTCTTGATACCCCTGAGCTTATTATCTTCCTATATGTTCATAATTTCTCGACGAAAAATAATCTAAAAACGTGTAACAATATCTTATCTTGATTAGAAATTCACAATCAAGAAAGATGAGATTTATCCAAACCCCACAAAATTTCAAATAAATTCTGACTGGAAAAAGAGAAGCGACAAAAAAGATTGTGGATGTTGTATATGAATACACACGAGTACGATCAATATCTATATGTGGATCGTAGTATATGAAAGTATGTGAGTAATCTTATGCTTTTCGATATAGCAAACACATTTCAATAAAATGGCTCTCCTGTTACCCGGAAGACAAATTTCAAACCCACTTCACGCCATATACGGGTCTTGCAAAATGGTATTGTAAAACCTAGTAACGGCAACCCAGTCAAGTCCCGCTAGGGTTCAGAACGGATCAACTATCCTATTAGAGTTTACTCGCTGCCATCTCTCCATATTGGCATTGTAAAGTTCATGTTGCTCGACGTTTATTCGAAGAAGAATAGAATTTGTATTGACATAAGCTTAATTATTTAAGATTAAACATAAGCAAAAGTAATTTGTTTTCTGCTTTTTTGTTTGAGTTTAGAATATAATCTAGGTTTAAAAATTTTTGCATGTCAAGAATTATAGTGCTGCGAAAGTTTTAGGTGCTCCGGATTCAAAACAAGTTAAAGTGGGTTCCCTGAGAGCTTCGATGAGAGCAGAAAATGAAAGGTAAAAACTTATTGAATCACGTAATTTCAAGTTAATCATGCTTGTTTTTTTGTCCGTTCTGTGTCTCTTTTGATGATTCTATTTCCATGTTTTTCGACGTCACGGAGTTTGCGCCGTGGGCAAGAATCATGATTGTTAGGTTCACGCTTCTTCTAATTAATGATACATCCTGAGGCGCTTTCGAACTAATCACGCATATGTGCTCTTGAGCAGTGCTTCTCATATAATCAAACTATCCGGTCCAGTTGTGTCATAACCAGTGTGGTCACCATTTAAAAGTTTCTCTCTGGATCTTCCCTTAGCTTGAAGTGTTTCAAAAATGTTTTGAAATCATATTTATCTAGGTCCCCGAAACTCTACATCTAATTAATGCACTTTTTAGGTGTTTTAAATCACAACATTCCCATCCATTCGCGTGAATCATCCCATTGCAAGAATTATATGAGCTTCCTTTACTTTTTTCAAATATTGATAGAGTGATCAATTTGAGTGAACATATATTTTATATCTTGAGATGTTGGTAGTTGGCTATGTTTGTGATTGTATTTAGCGTATGCTGGGACTATTAAGTTGGTAGACATCGACCAAACCAAAAAGAGTTGGCAAGACTTAAGACGCACACTAGCACGATGCACTCTAAGATCATGCGGAAATGGGTGAGCTGTGACCGGGGCGAATAGTATAATACTAACGGCCAGCCTAGGTGGGAATACCTATAGTGGCATTAGAGCCAGCGCGGGGACAGTGGGCGTTAAATATGTCTGTAATCACCGATGGATAAGTTCCGCATGTTCTCAAATTAGCACGACACGTTTAAAGCCGTTCTTAATTAAGCAAACATTGTTGTGCTCGCGATGGCCCCCTCTGCTCCAGTGCAAGTGAGCTGGGCCCATCTCATTCGACGGTGATATGAGTCGGGCTCATGTCGATGAAGAGCTAGAATTACATCAAGATTACACTTTTCATTGACTTCTTTATCTTTAAATTTATCGTCATCTCATTTAGATTTTAGTCGATAATGTTTATGTTTTAATAGGAAACTAGCTAGGTCTTCCACTATACATAACCGTGTTAATGCATTTCTTTAGTCAGCTTTTGACCAAAAATCTCTCTTGTGAGCTCGAGTCTTTTGAGTTTCTTTATACATCACGATAGAGACATTTGTGCGATACTCGGGATATCAGTTAGCTTTTGATCAAGACCGTAGAATTGTTGAGTTATTGCCAAGTTTCGGCGTGCTTTCCCCTTTTCTCGATCTTTTATCCGATTTTCTTCCCTTTCGTGCTATCCTTATTTACTTCACCCTTTGTTTCGCTTCCGTTCCCCATCACGCACGCGAGGCAACAGCAGCTCCGAGTGGGGGCTAAATCCACAGGGGAAGGCTTAAAAAGTTTCTCAACAATGACAATTTTCGAGAGGGTCATCATTGGTATCCAATGCTAGTTGTGTCTCCGCGATGGCTGCAAAGTTAAAGGGCTGCCAATTTGGCATCAAATGATTGGATCCAACTCGAATAATCTCTTATGCTGCCGTTTGGTCGTCAATGGTTTTCCCTGGATATATAAGAAAGACCACGTCACTTTGGTTCTCTAGAATGGTTGTCAAATTTGGTTCTCTAGCTTGGTCATTCCCTTGAAGTGGCGTCTGATGGTGCGATATTCCATGTCAAATAGGATTAACCAAAAAGTGTCGAGGTTTTGGTCTTCTAGACAGCCAAAACTTGTGCGGTTCGGATTGCATTGTACACACCAGTGATTTTGGCCAATGGATTTTTCGATCTTACTAAGATTATCTTCGGCGTGCAAGTCCCAATTCTTGAACAGGCCACTACAAGCCGGTCAACAATCAAGCCACAACAACACGTGGATGGGCAATGTTTGAAGTAGCTGGCTCTTCTCTGCTTCTGATTAAGTTATCATAACCCAAATGTTGCTCCAAAAAGCACTATCGTCTGCTTCTCCACAGCGATACACCACTTTGGACTGAAGAAAATCTTTTGTGAGTAGTTGGAATTTGGCGGTAATCCTCTCACATCTGTCATCTTCAAGCTGAAGATATATGGCTGTTATCGGGCCCTTCGGGGCATCGCTTAGATTTTGCCATCAAAAGTAGAAATTTTGCACAAAATTTAGATTCCAAATTCATGGAAATCAATAAGTAGCCTAAACCGACGAAGCCTGCTAGAATTTCAAATTTAATTTTTGAGTTTTATTTCTCACATTCTTCAATTTCCTCTTATATTTCTAATTCTAAATGAAAGACCCTTGAAATTGATTCTGCTTTGGATATTTCGTTGTCTTAGAACAATTTCTTGTAAATTGATTCAAGCCCCACGGGTGCGTCCTGTCAAATCTTTTCTTTGCTGTATAATCTCGGCGTATGCGTCCCAGTCCAAGAAAGGGACAAGTGAGTTCAACCAGCGCTAAAAGCAATCTTTCGATGAGGAGATGGCCATATATATTATACATAAATTTCTCTGTGCAAAATTGAGATGTGCGCCTTAATATAATTTGTTCGTTGAATGGTATCCTTTTTCATATGAACCGTACTATATGATGTTGTTAGTTACCTACAAAATTTTCCTAATACAACAACCAGGAGAATTTTATATGCAGCTAAACAATAGCATTATAATAGAGAGAGAAAATAACAAAATTATTTCAAGGAAATACTTGACAGGGGGAGCTACGAAAAGTTGTTAGAATTTTCAACAATTGCTGTCGTGCAACGTTAAAGCTATTAAACTAATGCCCTTTTTTTTATAAAAAAATTTTTTGGTTGTTGTTGCTGTTGCTGTATTGCAAAAAAAAAAAAAAAAACTCCTAGGATTTAATGAGGCGAGCACAAATACTAATCGGTGGAGAATGCAAGAAAAGCATTCCTTTCAAGGAGAATGATCGATCCTTTGCAAATTGGAGTTATACGCGTTGGTTTTAGAAGCAATTCTTAAAGGGAGTGCTTGTTACCGTATACCCAAACTCTCATATAAGCAAAGGGAGCTCTCATCATTCGGGGATCTTAAATCTTTCTATCTTTTTCTCGAATATTCTCAAATACTTATTTCGCAAGTGCTGTACACTTGCTCAAATGCGTAGAGTAATAATTGCATTTTATCAATATTGAAATTTGAATCTTCTTTACTCCATAAAAAGAAAAAAGAAAAAAAAGAAAAAGAGAGAGAGGTCAAATCTCGAGATTCTTTTATCTTTCTACATATACAATTTCTTCGGACGGCGTAGTTTCACCAATAAATTCTATCCATGTTAAATGCTCAAATATTTCAAAATAAATGATTTTGTTAATTCCGTAATATCAAACCGAGACACTCTTGGCGCGAGCTTTTTAGCTTGTTCAGCAAGGAATCCATCCCCGCGCTTCAGATTCTCCTCCTCTCCCTCTCCCTCTCCCTCTCCCTCTCCGAGGCGACGATCTTCTTCCTCCGACTTCCTTCAAATCGGCCTAGGGCTTCGTAGCAATTGCACCGGCCTCTTCTCGATTCGGCCGCGAACGGGTAGCTGCTCCGATCTAGTTCGTCTCCGACATGGCGCCTGGAAAGAAGAGGTCCGGCGCCGGCACTTCTCGCGAGGAGGCTCCCGTCAAGGTCCGCGCCAAGGGCCCCAGAAAGAAGGAAGAGATGAAGGACGAGGACATGGTGAGTGCGCTTTTGGCGCTTCATTTCGTTTTCCTTCTTCGTGTTCGATTTGAGTGTGTCGTTGAATGCGGGATGTTGCGGCTGGGTGAGTGCCCTTTGTGTTGCTTCGGTTGCTGTTGAAGTTGGTGATTTGATGAATTGAGAGTCGGAGTGAGGATTCGGATTCAGAGTCGGTAGTCGGGTGCGGTCTTTTGTGGTTTGGACTTTTGGCGTGTCGTGGCAATGGTACCGGTTAGTTGCTGAGGTGATTATGGAGGAGCTGGAGTGCGTTGATGAATTCCTTTTCGTTAAGTTCTGTTTGTGAACGTATTTGCAGTCAGAAGAAGATTTGGCACTGAAGCAGCAGTTGGAGCTGTATGTGGAAAGGGTTCAGCATCCTGATCCTGGGTTACGGAAGGTTGCTCTGAAGAGCATGAGGTACTTCTGGTCCTGGAGATATTTTTTTGCTTCCATTTCTTCTCCTACTCAGCTATTGACTTATGGGAAACGAGCAAATCTACATTTAGCTTGTCCTTTGCTGGTTATTCCATCTGCTTGGGAAGAGGGGGGGGGTGACTGTTGTTCTCATTGTTGCAGGTCTGATATGAGTATGATATGGCAATTAGGCGAATAATCTGGCATGCAGCTAGAAGAAGAGTCGGATAGACAGTTCTAGGAAAAAAATTTCGGTATAAACCAACCATGTAACTATAGGGAGAAGACTAGAGAATGGGCGTGGGGTGTTTAATGGGGAGAACTCGGTCTTATTTCTTTTAGACTAAAGAAATCTTTACCGCATGCATTTTTACTGTGAACTTAGATGTTGGAAACTATTCGAGCATTACGTGGATCAAATCAGAAGGGGCTGCTAGAAATGAGATGGTCCTTAATTGACACTGGTTGTGGTTTGAACCTGATAATGAAAAAGATGTCTCACGAAAAGAGGGGCTGTCTACGTTTATCTTTCCAATGTGGTCTGACGACACCGATAATCGTCTTTGTAGACGAGAAATTCGTGCTTCAACAAGTTCAATGACTTCAGTTCCGAAGCCCCTGAAGTTTCTCCGAACTCATTATGGAACTCTTAAGGCGTATTATGAAACAATGAAGGATTCATATTTGAAGGTGAAGTATGGATTGGCACGGTATTGTTTGCTAGGATACTTTATCTTAATCGCAGTCAATGATCTGGTTTACATTGATGAAGAGATACCTAGCGGACATACTCTCTGTTTTGGCCTCGACAACGTCTGTTGAAGGGGAACGGGTAATTCTTCTTGTGACTCAAAATCGTTTTTTGCTGGCCATTATTTCCATGACTTGCCTGTAGGATGACAACTTATGGAAACTCCGTTCTTCTATATCCCCGTTGCCATTGTTCTAAACAAGAATTCGTCAATAGTCAGTATCGGTATCTTTTGAAATCATGCCTCCTGACGTATGATCATTTCACTGAATAGCCTGCATTTATTTTAGGTGTAGACGTCTTCCGTGACCTTGCCAAGTTCACTTCTCCAACTCCCTTGTAGATTTGATGTTGATTTCTTTCTTTTGTGAATGGTGTAATTGTTTCCAGGAGAGTCTGAAGTACAGGTTGTTAGGTTCAGAAGGTGATATTGGCTCTTGGGGCCATGAGTATGTCAGGTAATCTATCTTGACGTTGGGTGTGATATATCTCACGTTCCATTGGTTCCTTTATCCTCTCCTTTTAATATGAGGTTAAAAAGACTGTAACTTTTGCTATAAATTCATGGATAATTATAGTGAACTGTTGATTCTTTTGAACGTCATTGAGGATTCTATAATAATTGCATCTGTTGTGTATAATCTCATTATTTCCCACTTGTCTGATGATACTGATATCTCGATAAATTTTATGCTGATAGGGATGTGATGTGGGTTGAGAGTAAAAAATTTAGCTAAATTTTCAGTCTATCTAGACAAAGACGTGGTCCGTAATGGTTGCTGGTGAATGAATTTATTTGCTTGCCATTGTTGATTTGATGTTTTATGTAAGCCACTGGTCAATGTCCCACCTTTTAAGTTGTCGTTACCTGGGTTATAATGGTGAAGCTCCGCTATGTTCGTAAAGAGGGACACGTATTTACCGCTGTCCAGAGTTCTCAATTAACGTGATCTTTCTGCAATGGCCTCTTCTAGATGCCTAGTTATGTCGATACTTCTTGAATCTGGTACAGCTATGTGCCGTTAGTACGAGGATTTCTCTGCTCTGCATCAGCCCACTCTTTAAGTGGCTGTGAATTGAACTGTGGACCAAAAAATGAAATCAAAGTTTTTTTTCTCACTTGCTGATCCTTTACTCCAACTTTTCATCAACCATGGAGGACGTGTTTCTCTTGAACACATAGGATGGAAAATAGGGGAATCTTGGTTCGTTAGACTATATATACATCCAGAGTCATTGCTTATCTATTGATTGTATGTATTACATTTTAATACATGGGGAAGGATACGGTCATGCTGCCGTCTCTTTGTTCTCTCAATTGTGAAATCCTCGCGGAAGGGTTATTTTGAACGTTATTCATTTTCCGATACTTGGTGCATGATCTCTGTCTTGAGATACTGGTTGTTGAGGAATTCTTGTTGTTTTGTGCTTTATCTAGACGTTACATTGCACTTTGTCTTACCTAAAAATTAACATCTGACATCAGGAATTTAGCTGGGGAAATTGCTCAAGAATATAAAAAGCGACAGGTAATGTTGGCAAGTCCATCACTGTTTTCTTCACATCATGTAAGACAGGTTCTTAAACTCTTTCTTGAAGTGCTCTTCCGTTGCCTGCTTATATTTACATTAGTTTCCATTCTGGTGGTACATGATGTGTCACATCTGGCTTTCGCTAATTAATGTACTGTGGCTTAGTTCTATAGTTGTAATTCCATCAGTGATCCCTAACAACAACACCACCTGTATTTAAGATAATTCGTCTATGAAATTGGTGACCCCGGATATTCTTTGTCATGGTGTTTTGACCTATATATATGTTTGACAACGCTTTTTAAACCTTGGCAGAGTGAGGAGGCTCCTATAAATGATCTCATGGAGCTTGTACAGCAAATTGTAGCTTTCCATATGAAGGTATGTATCATTGTCTAATTTTCATGTCGGCAGGAAATGGATTAGGATCATTATATGCAGAAGACACTTTAACAGATAGATTTGTAACTTTTGATGACGCGTTAGTAAATCATTTTATTTTGTTGCAGCACAATGCTGAACCTGAAGCTGTTGACCTGTTAATGGAGGTAAAGTAAATTATTCATGCCAACCTTTTATTTTGTAGTGAGGCTGTTTTGAAGTGAATCTAAGACTATTAAATGACTTCCAGGTCAAACACCTTGATATGTTAATGGAGCATGTTGACAGCACCAACTTCAAGGGGACATGTGTATACCTCACAAGTGCTGCAAGGTACATGGAATTTTTGTCATCAAAACGGTGCATAACAGTCAGGGTAATTCACTATGGATTGCTCAGAAAATGGTCTAGGAGCTTATTGGTTGAGGACCGACTCATGAGTGTGCCTTTTGTCCCAATCAATTCTTTCTTTTGTATCGGTTGCAGAAACCTTCCTGGACCTGATGTCACGTTAGGTCTGGATACGGCTTACAAGATCTATCTCAATTTTGAAGACTACGCCAATGCCCTTGAGATCGCACTGTCCCTAGATGATAAGCAGGTTATTTGGATATGAATAAGCATCTTTTCCTTTCAAGTTGTGTACAGGAATTTCTTGTGAGGAGTTCCGCATTGCCACATATTGGATCTCTCTCTCTATCTCTCTCTCTCTCTCTCTCTGTGGGAATCTAATCTAACCCGTGAAGGTACACATGCAGTATGTGAAGCAGGTCTTCCTGTCTTGCGGTAATTTTGCACGGAAGAAACGATTCTTCTATATCCTTGCTCGACATGTGAGTTGTTTCTCAGCTATAATTGAAATGCATCTTTAATCCTTGCTTCAGATATAGTCGGCGTACATGGCAAGATTGCCTGGGGTGATTTTGATAGTAATTTGCTATTTTTTTGTGCAGGGTAGTATCACCTTTGAGCTTGATAAAGAGATGGTTCCAGATGACGATGAAAGAAAGGCATTGGAGGAACTCGTCGACAATATTAAAGTAAGCGAAGGTTATCTTACTCTTTGCCCACGATATTGAGGTTATGCAGCCCAAATCTCTTGAAGACATTTACAAGGTTTGAACGGTTGATAATTGTTCATGCTTTCTATGACTTGATCTGATCTTGGTTACGAAAACTCATTAACTTGTTTTATCATCAATACTCGAATCAAGCTCTTGGATGCATCATGTTGTATGGCGCTGCAAATGTAATGGGAGCTGTGTGATTGTTTCTTCATTTGCTTAGGAGTAATTGCTGTTTTTTTTTTTAGGGGAGTATGCTTATGTTTTTGCCTTTGATTTACAGGCAGCAAGATCTCTTTCTGTTAAAAATATTAACTTCAAAACCTCTGAGGAGGATTTGAGAAGCCATTTCGTCAAATTTATGGAAGCGAGGAACATTCTTAATGTCTCGGTAGTCTTTTGATCCACTAGAATTAATGTTGTGATTTGTGATCCACGACTATTGATCAACATATTTTCGTTATGTGCACAGATAAAAACGCGCATTGCGACGGAGGGGCAAGTTTCAGCAGGTTGGGGGCAAATAGAATTTGATTCAGTGAGGACAGCCACCAATGTTCGCCAGATTTTAAATGTAAGCCTTTCTTTTTCCCTCTTGATAAATTACCGTTTAGTAATTTCCTCATAGTATATTTGTCTTCTCTCCAGAGAACCATCTTAGATGGACGCGCGCTTACTTTACAACTTTGCCGACCGGTTGAACCAGTGCCGAGTTCAACCACATTATTTGTGGGCAACATTGCTCCTTCGGCCACTGAAGAGGATATAAGGAAGATTTTTTGCCCGTTAGGGAAGGTAATCTAGCGTCTTCATCGTGGATTAATTGAGGGTGTGACTGATATTTGTGATTCGATAGGTGAAGAGTGTGACGCTGCCACTGCCGCCTTTGGGAACTAAAAGACGAATTGGATTTGTCGAGTACTCAGCAGAGCAGGAGGCACAGAGTGCTCTTCAAAGGCTGGGGGACACCTATCTGTTTGGATGGCGTTTGGTAAGTCATTTTCAATTATTCCGAAAAATGTCCTACAAAGCTGAGCTATAACTGTGTTCAGGTGATAGAAAAAGCTAGGGAAAAGAAAAACAGAGACAATCAAACAGTCCGGCGAAGTTAATGAGGAAGACGAGGATAGATTGAACTTCAACAGAATGGCCGCAGGTGGAAGAATTGTATGAAGATACAGTACCACACATCATTCTTTGGTTGACCTTACACGTGTATTCAGGAATAAGCTTTGCAGGAGTCGGGAGACCAATACTAACATTGCAGCGTAATATAGAGTTTTGATCGCTTAGCAGGATATCTTACTTACCCGTTTGTTTGGAATTCTTGCCGTTGGACTTGTGTTCTACTAAGCACAGCTAAGTTTACGTCGCTGGCTTGTAGTTGAACGTGTGACGTGGCAGTGCACCATGATTGAACATCTGAGTAACATGCTTGCATCATGATTGAATGTCTTAGTAACATGCTTTTTCGTAACAAGGACACACGATTCACGTTCGGGGTTTTGTCAATTTTCGTTCGTATTCAATGCCTTTTGGACTCTCTTTTTGATTTGCTCAATTGAATACATAGGTACGCGCACATCTAGATACACAGGTGGAGAGAGATTGGGAGGATGTTGGGCAAATCTATAAAAAAAAAAGTAGGGAAGCGTTGTTTCTTCATTTGCTTAGGCCTTTGTGCAAATTGAAAAAGAGAGATTTAAGAGGCCTCTCGGCCTTTGGGTTTGCAATAAACCTTTGCAAAATCATTTAATTTTAGTAGGTTCAATGATATAAGTCTAGTTACGTCTCATTGAATTCGCTCGTTTATCATATCGTCTGTTTTTTTTAATTGTGTGGGACAGCGGGCCCAATACGACGCGACCGTTTCACTATGACTCGGCCCTATTAGGTCCAACCCGGTACGGGTTGAGTGTTTCGCTCATTTTAATTAGCTGTTATTATATTTTGATTACTTTTGGGGCTTGCATGCATTGGCTTAAAGCTCAAGATCACGAGCATCATTACTTTTTGTAATGCAAACGGTAAGCTGGTTAATCATCACAGATTAGCCTTCATATATGTCCTATTATCATTATTAGCAACGGATATGGTGCTTGCCTGCGGGGAGTGGCTAAATCCAGGGAAAAAGAACTTGTCCATAGATTTGATTCATCCGCTCCTCCTGATACAATTGGCTTTTTCATAGCCGAGTTTATTTCCAGCAAGGAAACCTGAAGCTGGAGCCAGCTGCAACTCGTGAACTTCGATTAATGCAGACTAAACGAAGAATCGCTCGAGTCTCGCATCGTTTCTCTGTGGCTTGTGCAACATCCATTCTTGACGCAAGAAAATATTCGATATGGAGGAAGAGTCGTGGGAACGAGGCAATTAGCCTGACGTCCACCCTACACCCTAAACCGCGAAGGAACTACTTAATTGATTATGCTAAAGTATTAGAGCTAGGATATATCACGAGGAAAGGTTACCGGTGTTTTGGAAGGAGAGGAAAAGAAATTCAAGAAAAGTATTACTTGCTCGTGTTAAATTAAATTGCTTTTAGATGGTTTTGCAAATTTGCTTGGGTGTTTGGTTCTTGTTGATTTGATTGGATGGATGAGATCCGTTCTTTGCCACCGTTTGATTGTTAAGCCGCACACTTCCCACTCTGGATTGCCTTGTTGAAAGCTCGAAGAGGTTCAGTGAAATTTAGTACTTAGACTGCCCGTATCCACGATTTGTTGGTAACACAAATGGTTAATTCTCTGAATATATGTGCTGCTGCATACACGCACAAGACAACAATGAAATGGGTTAAAAAAAAAAATTAAGTCAAATAACTGGATTCACAACACTTAGGCTAAGCCAGGTATTTTGTTAGAACTAACAAAGTCGACGACTAGTTGGTCGACATCATGGAAAAAGGGGAAAAAAGAACTTATGGCATGAGTTCAAGTCCCACGACAACAATCCTCGAATCCTATTACGTGTCTTGTTCCGCCAGAGACCCCGTTGGTTTTTATTTCTAACTGTCGAACCCATTTCCTCGGGCATTTCTATCGTAAAACCCGCAATTACCATCTTCAGTGAAACTCCAGGGTCCCCCCCATCTCATATCAATACCCATTTTCACATCTTCACTTGGTGGCATGATGTACTCAACCCAATCCGGGTCTTGGACTAGGAATCGTTCCTGCTCGGAGTTCAGGGCTTCCAAAACGGGGCTAGGATGGTGAACCTCAAGTGGCTGCACAACATACTCTCCACAACATACTAAGAAACTCCTTAGTGGGTCTACAGGAGGAGGTAGACATCACATTTATGTCATTTTCCTTGACTCGTCTTCCCTTCAGCGATGGTTTTATTTACAATTGTTTTCGCTACAACATATTCATGATTCGAGATTATGATTATCCTCTCGAAAAGAATGTTCATCATGGTGGACGATTCTCCCCATTATGAGCCACAAAGATCTTCTAAATCAGGAAGGCATACTGCTTCAAGCAGTAAGCCAATCGCACGAAGTTCAGACAAGTTCTCTTCACGCTCAAATGATGGAAGGCATACGTCTTTTGGAGGAAAAACAGGGATGAGCACCAGTTTAGAATCAGGAAGAACTTCGAATTTGCGAGAATCATCTTCCCCTTCTGCAGAGGCTGTCAACGGGGATGATGTCACTTCACCAACCTGATACAAATGGCGGTAATCACAGATCTTCTGAAATGGATGGCGTCCAGATTTCTTCGTCGCTTGCATGCTTGAGTCGCAGATTTCTTCATCGCTTGCATGCTGGGGTGAGGACTCCGACCTTAATTATGATTTAGGTGGAAAAATTAATGGGTTGAGCACGGCAGCTCCTCTGCAGGTAATTTGGTAATTTGCATTTCTTCAATTGGATAGTTCTATGTATGTCAATCTGGATGCCGCGAGGTTTAATCTATGGTTATTAATGCAGGAGGATTTCTTTGCTTCTGTGGTAACTTCATTGTCCCATTAATTTTGTTTTGAGCCCCTTCTAGAAGCTTTTTGGTCATTAGTCAATGTCCGTATTTTTCCCATCGTAGAAAGAGGAGTGGAAGGCGACTGAGAATTAATGTATAATGATGCTATAGGAGATAGATTGCAGCGAGAATGGTGGTGTGAAGATAAATTCTTCTGAACCTTCCATTTATGATGATAGCAGAGCAGAGTCATATATGAAGAATCAAGTTTGACATAGTTTGTGCGCTTCTGACATGACAAGATGTAAAAGCATGACAAAAGTAGGCATGGTGTCCTAGCAACTTCAGGCGTGGTGTCCTAGGAAAGAGTTGCCCCGGCTGAATGGATCGGGAGGGAAGAACTAAAGTTCAATGGAGAGTTTTGATGAGAAAGTACGGAAAGCTGCTCGAGAACTTGTGATGCTGGCAACCGCTTCTCGGAGAACCATATAATGAAGAAACTTAATAAGGACGGTATATGCCATGTGGGTCCTTGTGAAAAATATTCTTGTCACGGTTCACGGATAATGCTTATTGACATGCCCAATCTTTCTGTGTTTACAGTTGAACCAAAGACACGGAGGGAATGGAGCTCAAGATGACCATCCATCCCAGCTTACATACCTATGTGTCATTGATGATATACATTGTTATGTAAATTGTAAATAGACGAGTGCCTCATTGGGTCTTTGAACCACAGTCAAAGCTGTACGACAACCGACAGGTTTAAAACTCATGCGGGACCCTAAAATTGCCAATTAAAAGTTTTCCTGATAAATTTATGTTGCTTCAATTAGTTTTGAAGTTTCTTTCATACTAGCGTATTTAAGGGGTTTGTTTTTCTTGCAGGTAGTAGATATAGGAACATTTAAGAGAAGAGAATCGTCAATTAAGGGAAAGGTGATTATGATGTGCTTTACCATGATGCAATGTGCTTGGTTCTTCTCTTGTTTGATTAATTCTCTGCATAAAATTGATCTCCTTGTTGTTTACAGATTGGCACAGCGGGACGAAGAAATTTCGAGGAAGTTGCAGTGTGATTTGCAAACTAAGGGAGAGAGGTGGAGAACTCTCGAAAATCAAGTGAGTGCTTTGCCATTTCAATTAGGGGTGTGCAAAGGAACCGAGAACCGCTAGGAGCCGGACTGAACCGGCCTAGAACCGGCGGTTCTCATGGGGACCGATCCGGTTCCCCGTCCCAATTTACGAGAACTGGTGGGTACCGGTCCGATTCTCGGTATGAGGTGCGGAACCGTCCACTCGGACCGGACCGTTATGAGCCTTGTAGTAGAGGTTCCTTGTCACACTCTGTTCAAAGTGCATTATGCATTCTGGTGGTTTGTAGTGAAGATGGAAAAACAATAGATTAAAGACCATCCGTAGAACTGAAGTAGTTGTCCATGTCATATTAACTTTACGTTCAATTTTTCTTATGTGCGAAGACAGGTCTCAATATATGGACTGAGATTCTGTTCTGAGTGTCTATAAGTGCTTGTTGTAATATATTGCCGTCAAATTTGTGCCCTCGGTTGTGAAGATCATCCTTCCTATCCTTTAGGTTGGTTTTCTTTCACATGATGGAGTTAAAGTTTCTCATTGCCCAGTTGCTGCAATGAAAATGCTGAGTTATACAGTTCTCTTTGGTGCTTTGGCAATTTTGTAGTGAGTGTGATGGTATTAATTGACGAATGCAACTTTGTAGGGATTGGGGACCGGTTTCAATTTTTCAGAAACGGTTCTTAGTGAGCGGTCTCCGATTCCAGGGTGAGAGCCGCACACCCGGACCATGCTCAATCCTAATTTCAATGCCAAGATGTTACAACTTGGATATTCATCTGACATGGACTCATAACTTAGGAATAGTCTCCAGAGCCTATATGGCAAAGTTATCCAAATTAATGTGTTCCTCAAGTCTTTTATTTTGTCTCTGTACTACTTTATCAGCCCCAAGAAGCCCAACAAAAAGTAGATCAATTGAACAGGGAGCAAGAAAGTTTGATTCATATTTTTCAAGAGGAAAGGGAACGAGGAGAAACTGACGAGCAGAACCCGAGGAAGAAAATGAAGGTCGTCCCCAGTTTTGCAAAATATCACTGTGCCATAGCGTTTTCTTGTTGTTGTTATTGGGAATTGGATGGCCTTAAACTTTTTTTCCCCTATTCATCTACATTTTTGTGGGAAGCTTTTACTGCCATTCAAATAGAATATTTTTTGGTGTAAAAAGTTTCAAATTCGGGATCTTCCGTTGCACGGATCTCGCAAGGGCATACTTGAGCCTTTTCCCCAGAGATCCCCATTACTTAGAAAAAGTGAGTCACTGGTTGATATATCGAAGCTCCGTCTATAAATAAATTAGTCCACGGTCTGCATACGACAGAAATTCATTATCGACGGAATTTTTTTTTCGTTATTTCCATTTCCAGAAACCAAATCCATGACATCTATGGCAGCTTTTCTGTTTGAATGCAATTTAATTAAAAAAAATCGCTTTCTAGACTATCCCTTTAGAATGGGGAATAGGGTATTCTAACAATATTCCTGATTACTTCGTTCTCTATTTCTATTTG